CCATCCAACCATCCATCCATCCATCCAGCCAACCATCCATCCATCCAACCATCCATCCATCCATCCAGCCAACCATCCATCCATCCATCCATCCATTTTCTTTACCCGTTTATTCCATTTTGGGTCACGGGGGTCGCTGGTGCCCATGTCCAGCAATCACTGTGAGAGGGGCGGGGGACACCCTGGACAGGTCTCCAGTCCATCACAGGGACACATAGAGACAAACGAGACAAACAACCATTCACTCTCTCACTCACACCTAGGGACAGTTTAGAGTTACCAATCAGCCTAACATGCATGTTTTTGGTCTGTGAGAGGAAACTGGAGCACCCGGAGAAAACCCACACATGCACGGAGAGAACATGCAAACTCCACCCAGAAAAGCATCGCTGGGAATTGAACTGGCAACCTTCTCGCTGAGAGGCAGCAGTTTTGAGCTGCTGTGCCGCGTCACTTTTAAACATATAGAAAATTTGATGCAGCTTCGCTGGATTCTCAACATATTTAAAATTCTGGCATGAAATACGGTGAGTGAGACGCACTGCTTAAATAAATCATAAACATTTATTTACTGATGTTCTGACGAGCTTTAAAACACTTATTTCCCAGTTATGCATAGCAGATTATTTTGTGGTATTTTTAAAATCTTTGAGCACAGTTTGAACGAGCAGCTCCACCAACATCAAGACATCGTCCGAGCGCATCAACTACAAACTGCAAGGATTTGCTTCCAGCTGGTGACGATCATAAACAGTACTGACTTTAAAAATGGAATGATAACTTTCTTAACCATCTCATTCAAGTATGAAATAGCAACAACTTCTGATTTAGCTGTTTTGCACCAGCCGACACATTCTGGGTGTATTACTTTGACAGTACTGCACGTCCTCAGCCTAAAGTCTGGCTCCTTTGGAGCACGATGAGTTTGGAGCGTCACAGAAGAGTCTGATAACGATGAGATGGAGCCAGAAGGGCTGGGACTAAAAGCTGCAGCACAGCCATTAGAGCCATTTGCTGCTCAATAATCCAGGTAGAAAAATGTAGCAAAGTTAAGTCTGGTCTTCTGGAATGATGTTGAAAGTATCAACTTGAGAATATTCAGAGAAATTCTAATATTAAATGATTTTCAGCACATCAGACGTTTCAGACTCCAAACGATCGAATCAATAAACTCCAGATGTTTTTAGACACTTTGCTCTTTGAAAATTTGAACTGAATTGCAAACTTTCTTTTAAACTTAAATGTCCACCACTTACTTTGCAGGTAAAAAAGCAAACAGTGACTATACTGCAGCAGGACTGAACTCATTAATACAAAATGTATCTCTTTTATTTGATCAGAAATTGTAATGAGTCGTGTTCTGTTTCCTGCAGCTCTTTGTATCAAATGAGTGTTGGCCGGCCAGATGTAGAGGAATCAGAAAGTGATGTTACAGATGTTTCAGACACTCACCCTGGACGTAGGGCCCTTTCTCAGGATGCTCTCGAACTCTGAGAGAAGCTCTTTTCTTCTGCTCTCCTCCTCTCAGCAGGTCTCGCACACGCTCATTATAGATCTCCAAGAAGCTGCAGGACAGGACAACATCCTGAATTCAGCATGAGCTTCAATGTCGGGAAGGAACCAAATAATCTGCTTCATTAGCGTCGTGCAGGTAGTTACCAATCATAAATTAAACATGAGAAACGTTTGCTCATAAAAGTGCTTTGTGTACATTTTCAGCTTTTGCTCATAATAAAACAATTTAAAAAATCCTTAGAGCAAAAAACCACAAACGTAATAAATCACCTGATCTCTACTCTGCTCGAGTTCTGCCCGTCAGATGAAGAGTCTTCGGCGTGAAAGAGTCCCTGGAAGGAGTTACCAACATTATTTGAGCCCACAAACAGCTGCTTAATGAAGAACAAAGACGTGTGAGCTCACGTAGGTCAGCTCATAACTTCATAAATTATAATCCAACATACCTGGCATATCCGAGGAGTCAGGCCAACGGCGTCCTGAGACACACAACACACACACACGATGAGCGACAGTCTTCATGTAGACCTACATCACTTAGACCCTGTTTACACGACGCTGTTTTCAAGTGACACTGTAGCTCTTCTGCTGAGAACAACCGCACGTGCACAGTACACGAGCAGCACGCTCAGCTGTTCTAAAACCCAAGCTTTCTGAGGGACCAGGTGTGAAATCACATGTGACCTCTACTCAAACGTTTTGCTACGCTTGTGAAAGAACACGAACAACTGCATCCTACTACATCCTACTGCATCCTACTAGATCCTTCTACATATTACTGCATTCTACTTCATCCTACTACATCCTACTACATCCTACTGCATCCTACTGCATCCTACTAGATCCTTCTACATATTACTGCATTCTACTTCATCCTACTACATCCTACTGCATCCTACTAGATCCCACTAGATTATACAGCATCCTATTACATCCTACTGCATCTTACTAGATCCTACTGCATCCCACATCTTACTACATCCTACTACATCCCACTACATCATACCGCAGTCCTACCTCATCCTACTGCATCCTACTACATCTTGCTGCATCCTACTAGATCCTACTGCATCCTACTACATTCTACTGCATCCTACTACATCTTACTAGATCCTACTGCATCATACTACATCCTACTGTGTCCTACTACATCCTACTGCATCCTACTGCATCCTACTACATTCTACTGCATCCTACTATATCCTACTACATCTTACTACATCCTAATACATTCTACTAGATCCTACCGCATCCTACTAGATCCTACTGGGTGTTGCGACAGAAGAAGCTTTTCCTTAGTTTACACATTTCCCAGGAGAAATTGATGTCGGCCTGTTCGAGGCCAGCTGGGGAGAGCTTCAGATAACCACAATTGTTGATTTATTCAGGCAGACTATTTTGCTGTAAATCTGTTTTTACGGTTGATTCACCATCAACATTAAAAACAAATACTAATGTTTACAGAGATTGTTGTGTAGGCGGGGCTTCGTTCTGTTGACAAGCGGGGCACGATGCTTGTATAATGGTAGGGGTTTAGTAATTAGTAAAATGGTGCTTAACATAGCAAACAAATACTAAAATTAAAACCAGTAAAATAGTAGCTAAAACCAGTAAAACAGTAGCTAAAATCCTCAGAACAGTTAAGTGAAAAGTTAAAAGTGGCATAGCAGAAGCAGAAAACTCAAATTTGCATCAAGACAAAAATTAATTTTTCAAGACCAGATTTCAAAGTATTGAAGGAATTGGAGTGAAATTAATGTATTTCAGGGGGAATGTGATTGTCAATAAGGTTAAATATTTTTATAGGTATAAAAGTTACAAACACAGACTCTTCATACGTTTTTACATATGAACGGTTCAAACAGTACGAAGCTGTGAAAGTTGAATTCTGAACCTGTTTGAATCTATAAAATGTGAGGATGGTGTTCCCATGTGTGTGTGTGTGTGTGTGTGTGTGTG